TAAATTCTTACCTCAGACGGCAGAATCGAGCTCGATGCTCGAAGGCCGTTTGGACAAACAGTGAATGTAAGTAAATAGAAATAAATTCCTCTTTGCTCCTTTTCGTAAACAGCAACGACATTTATATTTTTCTATTAGTAGGTACTTCCAGTATAATGTTACAAAAACTCTGCGTATTATCAACTGTTTAATGGAACACTGCTGTAAGATAAGCACCCCCATGTCCTAAAAATTATCAGTAATTGTAAACCGCAGATAATAAACTATAGAAGAATGAAAGCAGGAACAGCAATATTACTCGGTGCAACAGAGTGTCCCATTGCATTAAACATTGCGATGATATCGGTAAAGTTAAAAATATCTACACTTAAAAGCTCTCTAATAAAGTGATAGTCATGGGTCACGACTAGTACCTACGTTAAATGGGTTTTATAGGAAAAGGGTGCAGTTTTGGTTCCGTTCCCTTCTTAAACAATTATTCATATATTCTAGATATATTTGGTATTTATTTCGTATTATATGATTGAAATGCAACGAAATGATTAAAAAAAAAGTTTCACGAATAGTTTGTTTTTTATTTTATTGTAATAATTTATTGCATAAAAAGTAATGAAACATGTTTACTCCTGTAAGCTTATCTAGCTTGCGTATCTGCTTCTTTAGGAGGGGCATATTTGACATACGACATACAGCAGAGAAAGGTTAATATAAAAAGATTTCTAAAATCAGCCAGTAATGATGAAAAATATATGACATGGGTCAACTAGAAACGTACTGTGGAAAGAGTACCTATGGCAGAATGAAAATGTGAAAAACACACGACAAATATCGGTAGAAGACGTTTGTACACCAACTGGAAAGGGTAGATGTTTGTAACAGGATTTGCGAAATTATAGCTGATTTCTAACTCAAGCATTTTTAGATGACTTATACCTATAGTAAGTACCTATATTAAAAATAAAAAATAGACGTTTTAAGTCAAAAAATTTTTTCTGTCCACAGCAGTACTTGCTAAGCCCATAAGTACCTTAAAAGAGTAAATTTTTTATACGCTGTCCAGTTATAATCTCCTTTACAAATCATTGAATTCTCGTCGACGCTATTTTACGACAGACGTGGAACACTTGAGACTGCCAGTCGGTAAACAAAGGCGGATCAAGTTGTTATCCTTAGCCATGTATGAGGACCCAACTATAAATAACTTGGCTAATAATGCGTTTCTCTATAAGCACCAAAACGCTATTATGATGACGATAATATCTCGTGGCTTATGATGAGTGTTCCGCAAAGCGGATTTACGAAGGCAGTCTTCTGTGTTTCCGTTCTACTTTATCTTCCATTCGGTGTTTCACAAGTGCTTAGTCAACACACCCTTCCTGGTAATTCTTGTAGACTCACTGGCTTGTGACAGATGGGTTACCGCTGGGTTACGCCACGTGAAGAGACTAGTTAGGTACAAATGGAGATAGTAACGTTAAGTGATTTGCATAACTTTTGCTGATACACCCAAAAGCCGCAAAAATCTTTTGGAAAAATTCCAATTTCTACCAAAAGTAAAAGCTTCTTCTAGGCCACAGAATGTTAAAAATAGATTTGTAGATTATAAATGTATGCACATTATCAAATTTTAATTTTCTAAGTAGTCTCCACAATTTTCTCATCCTTCACCATAGCTTCCAGGTTTTTCTCTTCCGAACAATAGATGTCGCCTGATTGCTAGATCTGCACTCTCACATACATGAGCTGTTGTCACTTCTAACTCCTGATAAAACATTTGTAGGATGTCTTCTACCAGGCTAGTATTATTCAAATTTCTGTATCTGGTTGGAAAACCTACTGTTATTCTTAGTGATATCGACTTTGGTTCTTTTATGCCACCGTTTTTGTGTCCCAATCCTTAATTTTTGCCATGCATATTATTTTCTGAGAGAAACTGTTTAAGGATCCTTCTAATTAAAGGTGTTACCCTTTGTTTCTATTTTTAGTTCTGATAAGGAATCATTACTATGACGCTATACCACCCACAGTGGGATATGACCTTTTCTTTTTCACATTGCTTATCTTATCTTCTCTTACAACTGCTGCACTTTGACAACTGTTAGTTTCGCACGATAGCGCTATTAATTAAACACTATATTTCCATTAATATACTTAAATACTCTAGCTATGACATTATTTTGTTAAGCTTAATTTTCAGCTGTTGAAGTATATGAAAATGGGTTATTAAAACAATCATCTTGATCTACGTGCTTTAGTTGAATGTATTTCATTTATTGTCAATGAATATACCGAAAACGAATGGATTTATATTTCAAGAATATTTTAGTAAAGGATAATTTTAGTTGTGATGAAGATGAACATTATTAATTGCTTTGGGTTTTCCAGAACCATATTACAAAAGATATTTAACGGATTTAAGAAAAAATATATTAGAAACTACAATAACGTTCCTCTTCTATAAAAATCTTATATGTGGAAGTTTATAAAAGGGACCCATGTCTGCCAAGGCGACAGTATTGTGGTAGGACTTGTCCTAGCCCAATTTCCGGCATCAAGGCGTAGATACAACATCCTTATTTCTTTCTAAGTAAATGCCACTGGGTTATTAGGTTAATGCTAAACGTCTGGTTCCATAGCAAAAGAACCATATAATAGCCATGAAATTAAATGTATCAAAAGACAAATAGGTGCAGTCGAAACATAAAACGTTAATTACTTTCCGAAGGCAAAGGCCACATTTCTTGTTATCATGCGTGTATATCGAACTAGATATGACAATTGGTTCATGCATTAATTCATAAAAAATAGGTCAGATTTTAACGTTAGTTGATATGTTAATTATGCATTATGTGAATTTTTGCATATGTTAACGTAGGATTGTTAATATGAGTAGTTTTTTTAATACTGACGTCTAACGTTCGTTTTATTCCTTTAATTTGTACTTAATTGCGCTGCAATTGTCAACTATTCATTTATTTGGCAAGAAAGTGAAATTTAGACATATTTCTTGTTCGTTCCGCGATTCAATTTCTGCACTTTTACACACTTTGTTGCAATGAAATCAAGTTAGTTAGGTGAAACTGAAATTTTTAACACAACCTTATTCCTGCAACAAGGAAAAATCTAAATTATTTTTTAAAATTTCATGGATGTCTCATCCTATAGGAGACACTATTAGTATTAGCACAAATACTGTTTTGAAAAATTTCGGTAAAACCATATGTTGATAGTTTCATTTGGAAAATACTAGTTAATTACGATCAATAAAGTATATCTATCCAAATCTCTAAAAAAAAATGATGATTATCGAGTCATGTTATCCCAATTTATTTTAAAATTAGTTTGTAAGACAACGACTGGTTGATTGATTTGTGCTGACGCATTTTGCAAGAAGCTTCTAAAATTACGCAAATGCAATTAAAATTAAAATTTACGATTTATGTACTTTGTTATCATAAAATAGTACCTCTTTCTAAACATCCGATAAGTGCTGATAATGGTAATATACAAAGTGTTGCTACAAAATTTCAGAACTGGTTCTTCTCATCAAAACAAACAATAGAACAAGGGTAACATTTTTTCCCAAAACTGTTTCTAAGAGCTCCAAGAGCCTCAAAGTTTTTTTCAATTAATCAATTTTTGTAATATTTCAAGAAAGTGTGTTACGGTAATACCTACATCTAGTAATTACAAAACCACGTAAGTAATTCTGCATTCCAGATACCTTAAGGAGGAAGCAGCCCCTTTCATGGAGCGTAATTTCTACACTTTGCTTTTGTTAAAATATTTGTGCATACTTCCTTAAAACATTATAGGTACTTACAAAAAAACGGTTCCGTAAAACCCGTATTTTCATAAATTTTAGAATAAGTTACATAATAATAAGAATTCTTCAAAAGAATTTCAGTTAATGGTCAACCTAAAAAATAACTATATCTGAGCAAGGTTGATATTGTTATTAAAGTACCAATAAATAAAAAAGAATAATACAAAACTTTTTAAATAAGTTTTTTCAAGTTTTTTAATTTTTTTTTTAATTTATTCACGCTATAACAACATTAAACCGTACGATTATATGCTTTAATTACGTTTTTTTTTTCAGCTTTATTGTATATTTATTTGTTATTATTTTTGTATATCAACTCCACAAGATTTAGTTATTTCTATGTGTTAATATAAGTATTAATTAAAATTCTTTTGGAAAAGTGCAGTTTGTTATGTAAAGAGTGCAATCATCATTATACAGCTTGAAAATACGAACATTTTACAACAGCAATTTTTTTTCAAGTGTCTAGCTTTAACAAATTTGTTTTTTGCTTATTCTTAACTGATGTTCCTTTAAAGTTTGTGTAGACTTCAAATTAAAAATCTAAATGCCTTGACAACATTTAGAATAATTTGAAGTTTTCCACAAATTCATATAATTTATTATTAGATTCGACCTTTCGGTAATTGAATTCGTATAATTGTTAAGAAATTGGAGTAAAATAATTTTATATATCATCTATTGCAGAGCAGCGCTTAACATTGTCAGAGTTTTTTTAACCTTTTCAAACAATTTTTTTTATAAGGAACGATATGTGAAAGGTTTTCTTAGAAGCAAGTAATTTTGTGGCGAAAAGAATATTTTTGTTTTTCTGCATTTTAAATAGAAGGGTCAGCTCTGAGAGTTTGTCATAACATTGAGGTTAGTAAATAAATTACTAAATAAATTATAAATATATGGAGTTTATTAAGTTCAACGCTGTCAAACAATGATTTATCTCTTTATATTTTAATTATCTACATAAAGGGTGTTTTTATCACAAGTTCTATCAAGAAATAAATGAGTAAATTTCATATTTTTTTTAACTTCAACACCTTGTAAGTATCTTGAGAAAAGTGGCTTTAACCTTTAGATCATTAAGGCTTTTCGGTGCAAAATTATCAAAGGAACAACCTCTTGAAGTTGTGACATGGACTTATACCCCAAACAGTTACAAATAAGTTGATCGACCTACCTCCTCGAGCTAGCTGTGGCATTCTGCTGCTCCTGAGCGTTCTGCGTCGGCGACGCAGCCGGACTGCAGCTGGGAGTTGAGTCTACACTCGACGCCAAGCTGGACTCACTCGAAGACAGACTCCTTGGTCTCCTAGACCTCGAGGACGCCGAGCTGCTTCTTGCGCGACCACTGGGTTCGTGAGACACTGCACTCTCGCGAGACCTAGAACGCGACGACCGCGTCGACACTCTCACCGCACTAGCAGGCAGTCTTGAGGGGGCGCTGACGGGCCTCATCGCCGTGGCGGTCTGCATCTGGACCTGTTCGGGACGTAGGGGTTCCACCTGGGGCTCGCCGGCCTCATCGCTGGGCAGTCTGAGGTGCTGGAGGCGGCGCATGGAGCTCCTCAGCCACGTGCCGCGGGCGTCTTCCTTGGGTTCCTCGTGCATGGCGGGTTCGGAAGAACTGGTGGGTCTGGCTGGTCTGGGTGGTTCGACCACGACGGTTCCGGTGCAGCAATCACCGGCGGCGTGTGCGCGCCTTTCCAGTGTTACGTCGCGCGCCACATCCTGCACCCAGCTCCAGTCGATGTCTTCGTCCGAGTCGCCAGCTGGGGCGGACGTCCGGTCTTCTGGGGGACGGCTGGTAGGGGACTCCGAGGTGCTGCGGACAAATAAAGCACGCTAGTGGTCAGAGGTTGCAATCGCTTAGAGGATTATCTACAAGGTGTCTCATAAAAAGTGGTTATTAAGACCAATATCCAAGGTGTAAACATCAACATTGCTACAAAACTTAGGCTAAGAGCTCTAGGATAGTTCAAAGTGATGTGAAACATAGTTTTTGGTCAATTACTGACGAATCACAGAAGATACAGACTCCAGTTCTCTCTGAACACTTGAATTTTTCTTAAAATTTGGGCGGATTTGGGAATGATCTGACAAATTCAAACTGTCAAAAAGGGATATTTGACGCAACAAAGTATTTTTTCATACTTTTCCCCCCACCACGCGCATGAACGTGTCGAACAGGGCAAGCATTTTACGAGCCTTGACAAAATTAAGTTTAGTGTAAAACAGGTGGTCAATCATTGCGATCTATTTTTTATATTGAAGTAAAAGTATTAAACTCCAAAATGTATAAATTGCAGACCTTAATATTAAAAAATGAGGTCGTAGCGATTTTTTTGAAAAAAAAAAAATCCGCGGTTCCTGTTGGTCGTAAGACATTTTTTCTATTTCGTGAAAAAACGTCAGCTTTCAAATAGCAATAATGCCTTCCACATTAAATTTCAACGATAAGAATAAAATCTACATTTTTCGACCCGAAAAGAGAAATCAAAATTTCGTGAACAATTTGCACAGGAAAGTACAAAATTTTAAGACCACGTAAGTGCATTACAATAATGTGCTTATTCTATACAGGGTGTTTCTAAAATATGGTTCCAAACTTCTGCTGCGTTTATAACTCATTAAAATAAGCCAAAAAGTTCCTATTAACATGTGCCCTAAAACGCACCCTTAGGAAGTTATATGCGCTCAAAAGGGCTCAAACAAAACTAGTTTTTTTCTGTTATTGACAAAACGATCGAAAATAAATAAAAAAAAAATTATGGGTCTTACATAACTTTTTACGTTAAATAACATGGGCTACTCCGTTTTTCGACATGCAAAGCATTTGCGTCCCATTTAGGTTAGTGAAGGCGGTTTTCGGCCCGTAATTTTTTTTATTTCAATTTTTTTACAATTTTCTCTACAGATTTATAAAATCTTAACAATTTTACGTAAAAAATATTATCTTTGTCCAAATCGACATTTCCAATGGTTTTCGAGTAAATTGAGTTTGAAAATTACTCTGCTCTTTAAGTTATTAGGCCAAAAATTACAAAAATCTGTTTACCATGTCAAATAAAAGACTGACGTTGCCACAACACTTAACAATTTAAGTTATTGATAAACTGTCAATTGAGCTTTGCAGTGTTTAATTAGTAAAAGTGGTGAGTGGAAAATTTAAGTATACAACATTATTGCAACTCATAAAATGGATTCATATGCAAACACGGAAATGGCAGATATGCACTTTATGTACGGCCGTGCGGCTGGAAATGCATCAGAAGCGAGGCGTCTGTATTCGGCAGCATACCCGAATAGAAGACTTCCTTCTCGACAGGTATTTCAGAGGATCCACCAACGTTTAAGAGAAAATGGTTCGTTCCAACCAAGAGTAAATGATCGTGGCAGAGACAGATTTGTAAGAACACCGGTAATGGAAGAAAATGTATTGAGAGCTGTGCAGGACAATCCAAAGGTTAGTGTAAGAAGTGTCGCACGTATGCATAACATAAGGTTTTCCGTAGTTTGGCGAATTCTTTGCGAACAACTACTTCATCCTTTTCATATCCAGCGTGTTCAAGCTTTAAATCCGAATGACTTCGAACCACGTCGGCAGTTCTGCCAATGGTTTTTGCAAAAATCGAGGCGGATTCCGAATTTTGCATCTCTTATTTTGTTTACGGATGAGGCAACCTTCAGTAAAGATGGTTATGTCAATTTTCATAATGCTCATGAATGGGCTGATGAAATCCCACACAGCATATTTCAGTCCAGACATCAGATTCGGATTGGGCAGGCATTTTAGGCGATCGGCTAATCGGACCATTTGTGTTGCCTAATCGATTGAATGGTGAGGATTATTACAATTTTTTAGTTAACGATTTACCAGGACTTTTGGAAGATGTCCCTTTAATTGAACGCCAAAGCATATGGTTTATGCAGGACGGGGCGCCACCTCATTACCTACATAATGTAAGACAACACTTAAATGAGTTGTATGGAGAAAAATGGATAGGCCGATGATGTCCTGTTCCCTGGCCTCCACGTTCCTCTGACCTTAACCCCCAGGACTATTTTTTGTGGGGTCAACTTAAGGCAAAGGTTTATAAAATTCCAATTGAGATCATTCAGCAACTACGGCAGGTAATTGAAACCGCGTGCATGGAAATAAGGCAAACACCTAGAATTTAGTAAGTGTAACTCTAAATTTAAATAGTCTTAGTTTATATCCTAAATTATTTATTAAATGATCGGATCCTTCATAACTGCAATTTATTTAAATAATGTTACTGAATTTTCACTCAATTTACTCGAAAACCATTGGAAATATCGATTTGGACAAAGATAATAATTTTTACGTAAAATTGTTAAGATTTTATAAATCTGTAGAGAAAATTGAAAAAAATTAAAATAAAAAAAATTACGGGCCGAAAACCCCCTTCGCCAACCTAAATAGGACGCATATGATTTGCATGTCGAAACACTGAGTAAATTTTTTTCTATTTATTTTCGACCGTTTTGTCAATAACAGAAAAAAAAACAATTTTGTTTGAGCCCTTTTAAGGGCATATAACTTCCTAAGGGTGCGTTTTAGGGCACATGTTAATAGGAACATTTTGGCTTATTTTAATGAGTTATAAACGCAGCAGAAGTTTGGAACCCTATTTTAGAAACACCCTATATATTCTGAAAGATTCGTAAAAAATCTTTTTGCGTTTTAAAGATATAAAAGTTTTATAAAATGCGAAAAAGTTTTAAAAAATGAGCTATTTTTTGCATAACTAATACATTTGCTTGTCAATTGACTGGGCTGAATATTTTTACTGAACTAAATTTAGGCAAATAACTAGGTATTTTCAACAATTTGACTGACCTATAAGGAAAAGCATTACTTGTTGTATGAACGCCGTGTTATCATAACGTCGGTGAGACACCCTGTACAAAATCAAATTAAAACATTGACAGCAATTTATATTTACTGGAATCTACCTACCTGGATGCTATCACCGCCTGGAGAGAAGGCCGCTCCCTCCTGACAACTGCAACAGTAGCCCTTGCCGGTTGATTCCTGCTCAACGCATCGGTGGCCATGCCACACGCAGACAATGGCCTACGCTCGCCCTCGATTGTTTCGGTATCGACATATCCCCTGTTCACGCACCCGGAAGCCAGAAATTTGGTGTAATTTTCCTCCATCTGCCGCAGCTTGTTCCGCAGTCTTTCCTCGTCTGCGCTGCCAAGGACATCTGCCTCTCCCTGATTTCCGGGTTGGTCCGACGAACTCGTCGCACTCGGTTGGTCTTCGATACAAACAGAGCTGCTTGAGTCATTGGAACTGTAGCTACACTCCTCGCTGCTGCTGCTGTCCAAAGTTCTCAGGTAGTTGTCTAGGTCTTTCAGGCAATTTTCGATATCTTCTTGTACCACCCCACCATTTTCGTTCAGCTCAGCATCGGATTCCAACAAGGAAGCGTTGAGGATATCGTCGAGGTTCCTTAACACATCCAAAGCTTCCAAGTTCTCTATCAAACCTACATCACAAAGATCTAGGAAGTTATCGCTAAGTCTCTGTGGTGCATCCACTTCGTCATCATCGATCGTGATTAAAATATCCTCGACGTCTACGCTGGTTCTCCTGGAATCTACGACTGGAGTTGCGATCTGGTTAGCGGTTTGGAGTTTCTGCTCCAATATTGGCAGTTCTGTGTCTATGAGGTTGTCGGAGGTGTCTACGAACGTTTGGAAATTGGGTAATGCTCTTGGAAGAACAGGAGATCTCACGTGGAGGTCTATCAGGTCTCCCTCATAGTCTTGGTTTTCTGAAGACATTTTGGAAGGTTAACGTTGTGCACATGACCTAGAACAACATTAAATCAAATTAAATATCAGAAACCGCTAAACACTACAACAAATAAAACAACACTCTTTTATTCACATGATTACAAGAATGTTGCGTGACGAGTCAGGAAATTTACAGTACTCCTATAATCACCTCAAATGTATCATAGTAGAAGATGGCAAATTGCTTATGGGAAAAGAACTGTACTACATTCCAACATACAATGGCAAATTATAAAAATTATCGTGACAAGTAGGTATCTTTTATCTCAACGAGAACTAGGTTAAGGTCGTGATCTGATTGACCTCCCTAAAAGATGACAGGTTACTTTTAATCACAAGTTCTTAAAATTTATCCAAGTGATATCAGAAAGTGCGCAAAACTTAGCTCTAAGTCATCAGTATACATTTGGAAATATACACCTTGAACAATGTGTTGGAAATACAATTTAGAATAATTCTTAGAAAAAGTTTCTAAAAATATCTTATATAGCTACGAGAATTAGTTGGTTAAATTAATACTTCTTTTAATCTATAATCAAAATTTATTGGATAGTTCTTTCTAAAATCTTGGACTCGTAATTATCATCAGGCAGGATGATACATTTACAGTTTGTTAAATGAAATATTAATATATTTTTTGTATGTGGATATAATATAAATGCAACTAACTGCATCAACTAGACACAGACAATAGTGAAACCTATCTTCCACTTTTCCTTCACTTCAAAAGCATTTCTTTTCTGAACACTTAGTGGAATATACTATTTATCTTTTGTACTAATGCCCATCCCAGTGCACTGAATTCGAAACACTGAATTTCTTTGTAATGCGAAATTGCTTTTTGTCTTGCAAAGTTTCAACTGAATAAGGATGAGAGTTTCTTTACAATCCAAAAATCAAAATCGAGGTTTGTTTATAGAACAGCTTTATGATCCTAAGTAACACAATTGGAATTTTGTGTTTACCGATTGACATTGAACAATTATGGTTAATAGAATATCTCTGTTTATATTTTCTTAATAGCTTTTTTTGTTCTTAGTTACAATATTACCTATAATATAGCTGTAATAGAGCCATACTTTTTAAATACATTTTATAAATATAAAAACAATTAATTCCAAGTTATATTTCGTGTTTGTACTACCGTTTCTAGTGGTTTATTCAACATTTGTAATGTAATATCAATATAGGTGTATACACACATAACAGTAGCATAGAATAAACCACCACGAGTTGTGTTTCACGTACGAACATGCTAATCTACAGACTAGGTACGTATAATTATCAGGCTTGCCTTGAAAGCCTTTTAAATTGCCTGAAACATAATTAATATTATTTTTTACCACATGACTAACTCAGTCTAATAAAAGCGTTGTTCTCACAGTAATTGTTCACTGGTTATAGGATTGAAACATGGGATAAAATGCGTTTTTTCGTATAAAAAGGAGAAATGTTATTTTAAAAATGTGGTGGTGCGAGCTTACAATTAGTCATTGAAGACTACATCATTATACTGTAACCCTACTAATGATAAAAGATATATAAATTATTATTTAATACCAATTACCGTTTAATAGATATCATTAATTCACTTTGAAACCTGAATGAAAACAAATCCACTTTGTAAGTTTAGATCTAAGGTAATATGCTTTATATCTGATATAATAGTTGGAACCGTCTCGCTTACAATATTATTATGTAAATTTATTGTTAATTAAATGAATTTAAGGAATTTTCCACGGCAATTTATATAATAAATAAGAAAATGCACGTGCAAAAAAAAACAGTTATATGTAGGTATATACAAATATACATAGTATTTTTTAATTACTGTCTTCGGTATCTTAAGCACTAGATTTTTAGATATAACAGAAAACAAAACCGTTTCCAGGTTATTCTGAAAGTCATCTTCAAAAAGTTAAGTATTTATTTAAAATCATGATAATCAACTACGCAAGATATAACCAGGCCTTAATATTTATTCTATAACTTGTTTAACTGAAGTCATATTTAGTATGTCTTCATTAATTTTTAATTGAAACATGCATATTTGTGCACGGATTAAGAGTTTTCTGTTTGCTTAATTAATCAACTCGACAAACACATTAACAGACTACAACATTTAGATTTTTAATTAAAAAATTAATAACAGATTTTAATGAGTTACATAATATTTATTTTAGAACTCCTTCAATATATCAAGGGTCATTGCTGCTCTCAATTAAAACAAAAAATGTATATTATGAACAAGACTCTTTAACTCACTAATTTTCTTTTATTAAATACATTTAACTTTTATTACCAATACAGTGGCAATGTTTTTCTTTATTATTTGTCAATCGAGTGGTCTCACACAACCAATACCGCGAAATACTTAACATGTCAGATACATTTAGCGGAGATGTCGCATCACGCAATGAAATTACAATCCCCAAGCAAGCAACCGTGGACTTAACGACTGATGGTAACAGAGAACAATGGTGGGATTGCCATAAAACAATAATTGTTAGACTAGGAAGCATTATCCTAATAAATGGGTCATCGGTTACACTGTATAATAAACATGCTTTTATGTCTGAGCTTTACGATATTAATAACTGCATCTGTTTCCTTTGGGAAAAATACTTCTTCGAGTCACATATGAGCAGCTAATTATGAAAATGGCAAAAACTAGCTGTATAAGGAAATCCGTAAACATTACAATGAGTTTTATTTTATTTGCTACATTTTTTACTTTAATTGCTGGTGTAATTACATCTCCCATATTTGAGGCAATTAATAAACTGTAATTAAGTATTAGAAATTATATTTATTTATATATTTTCAAGGATATTGTGCACATATTGATACGAGATATGACAATGAAATAGTAGAAAATGACTAGATACAATATAATATGAGAGAATGAAAATATCCCACATATGATTTTGATATATGTACGAGTATATTGTATCTAGTCATTTTCTGCTATTTCATTGTCATATCTCGTATCAAGTAGTAGATCGTAGTATACTTAAATAACGAGCGTTCAAATAAAAACGTGGTTGAAGTTGGCTCTGACACATTGGACGTAGGGAGTAGCTTATAGCGACCAACTTAACCTCATTTCTCAACGAGCTGTATAGCAGCTGTCAGTTTCAATAACGTTAATGACTATA